TCCAGCAAGACGTGGCGGGCGAGAATTAGAGGGTGCCTTGGGCCGGCCTGACACGGAGCGAGGGACCTTAAGGAGCACACGGCCCTCCGCGAGTACCCCGCCGTGACAGTTACCCTTGCTTTTCCTCCAGCTCCCCACATATCTAAGAGGGCCCTCAGCTCCTCTGCCTTTACCTTTCATGTTCTTAGTATTTCAGATACTGCATCTGGTAGTTGTGGGTGAGGGTTTACAGTGGTAACTTTGGGGAAACTTTGAATAAATGATTTCTTGTGAATGCAGGAGATTAGATTCAAAGGCTCACTAGGCCCACAAGTTTCTTTTCAGTAGGCAATATGATTCACTCCATAGTGTTTTCCTTCCAGAGGAGGGTGGTTCCAATTTGGATGAGTCCCTAAAATAGGGATGTCCAGCTTCTAAGCAGCCAGGCTCACACACCCCTTGGGCTGTACCAGTGGGGACCGCATGCTGTGTGGGCTGCACTAGCACAAGCCATAGGCCCCTCAAGCTGCACCCAGGCTGTGAATGTCCCAGCATCACCCTCAGCTCCTCAGGTGCAGACTCCATTGCATTATATCATGCAAGGGCCATAGCCTGCAGTCAGAACCATGCTGCACTGCACTACCCTTGTAATTTAAGAAATAACAGTACTCATAACTTTTATACAGAAGTAGATTAGAGCTACAGGTCTCAAATATCCTATTTAAAGTTAAGAAGTTGATTAAATAGCTCTTCTGGTGCTATATCCATAATTTGGAATGTAAGAAACATTATTCTTTTTATCCATTCATAATTAATGTTTAAGCCAGACTTTCAGTATTCCTAATGGTCAGCTTCCTTAGTTCAATAAACTGTGGGTGAATATCTCCTTTCTAAATACTCACTATTTCTTATGTAAATAGCTGTAACCTACTTCAAGTGTTGGACTGAATCCTGCTTGCCTTGCTTACTCAATAGTCTCACTGATACCAGTAGCAGTGCTCACCTAATGAGAAAACGATTAAGTGCTTATGTTATTTTGAGTTTAGTGGTATATGTTCTTTTCTTGTTATTTTCCTTAGAAATGGGCAGAGCAGAAATTTAAATGCAGAGCACAAGATCAGGAGTGAGGAGAACTGGATTCTGTCCAGCTCTGCCACCGATCTGCTGCGTGGCCTTGGGCATGTCACTCCCCCTGCCACTTCATTGTCTGCCTTGTGTATTTAGACTGTGCATTCTTCAATGTTTACAGTCTTGAGTACAACAACTAGCAAAATAGGGTCCCAATCTCTGATGTGGCCTCTAGGTGCTGCTGTAATACAAATCATTTTTACTTATGGCATATTATAGGGTACTCTCCTTGTTTTAGGACCTGTGACTTGTGTCCTTGTGTATGAGGGTTTGAAGTGGTGATTTTGGGGATTCCTTGTGTAAATGATTGCCTGGGAGTGCAGGGGCTACATTTGATGGCCCAGGAGGCCACTGCCATTGCTATGATCCTATATTCATAATTAATTAAAACATAAGTTAAATGTCCCTCTATCAAAAGATATGGCACCCATTCTGACTTGAAAATCAGTAGGAATTTGGGGCATAATTTGCTGCTTTTGAAGAAACTGTTAATTTAAATACATAAGAAGTGAAGGAGAGCAACTCTCAGCTTCCATCAGGACTTGGAAATGTAAACTAGGGAAAATCAGGGGTTGGAAATGTAAACTACTTTTTGTAAAGCAGTTGACTGATCTGAAATTTCCAGAACAGTTCAGAATTACAGGACTGTGTTTTGATGTCCCTGAGGACTCCCTGAAATGGGACTTTTGTCTCAAATTTGAAAGAAATTGGTTCTGGATCAGCATGTTGCTGCTTTGTTGAGATGACATAACTACCTGCTGCCACAGAAGCAATGGAGGGTATGTTTACACTGACATACAATGTGTTTTAGCTGGGTGGGTCTGGAGCACATCCTGCTCATCACTTCCACAGACACACTCCAAGCCAAGAAGCATGCCGGTGAGGCTGCTCTGGGAAGTCCCTCTGAAGCCGCTATTATAACTTTGTTTTCCGCTGTGCTTGAGAGCAGCTGCTGGGGTAGCATGGTTATTTTCTTGAACTTCCACCCCTCCCCACCCCAGCAGAGTTAATTAGCCTGCCTGAGTGCCTTGCTGTGGCAGGTACATTGACCCCAGTCAGAAATGTAACTGCTTCCAGGGCCTATGGTGCACCTGGGACTGAGTCCTGGATCTAGCTCCCTGGAAGTTAGTTGCTTTAAGTATTTGAATGTGTTATGCATTAGGAAAATTCTGAGCTGAAAACTGTTTTTTGCCTCTTTCATTAACAAGATTAGTGTTATTTAAAAAAAATGATTACAAAAATTCTAGTTTTGAAGATTTTTCATGCTCTGTTTTGTCACATGTTTAAATAGCAAGCTGCAGCCCTTGTACGTCATTTGACATGACTTCTTGCTAGAAAGTTCCCATAAGTAATGGTTTCTAACTGAGACATGCCACAGCCATTTGTAGTTGTGGACGTACTAAAGCAATGGCAAATGTCTTTTAAACCTACGTCAAAAATACAGTCATGACTAAATAGGTTAATTTGGTGTAGACAAGATTTGCTTTCCTCCAAAGCCAGTGCATACTGAGGAAAGGGAATTGCTCTACTTTTTAAAAGCACTGCTGGCATATTCTTCCCGTCTTTGTTGATTCACAGGGTTGGAGAATAGGGCCGTGCTCTTCTTTTAAGCTGGCCTAGCCAGCCTGCTTTTACTGGGCGTGCAGGTACTCAGAGGAAGGACAGACTCCATGTGCTCTGCTCCCTTCATAGTGTTTTCTCACAGAGGCAAGGCCTCAGTATCCAAGAAGGATGTTGTAACTACTTAGTGTAAATTTTTCTTTATTTTGTTTAAGGCTACTTTAATTTCTGCCATTGAGTTTTCCAGTTTTTAAGCATGCTTCTAAAACTTTTTCTACTTCTAAGATTCAAGTCAGCAAATTTTTAATGTTCTGTAACTGATAAGAAAGTCACAGCAGATTGTAGCAGAATTAAGCATATCTGTTCAAGACACATGGGGGCTCTGAAAAAGATGTTATTCAATTTAATCATTTTAATTTACATTGTATATGTACAAGAACATCATTTCTTTCAACCCACAGGTTAACACAAAAAAGCACTGCTGTTAGAGGAGCAGAGAAACTTTTGAAACACTCTGTCTGAAATAAAAGCAAGGCACTCTCCTTTAACAGCTGATATAGTCCTGAATTCAGCCTGCAAAAAAGGCATGTTCACACTGAGAGCTCTAACAAAAGTAGCAGAATTATCTGCTTTAATTCTTTCTTTTGCTATCATGATTTGCCATTGATCGTACTGCATGAATAATTTTTGTGAACTGAAATAAGTGTGAAGAACATTCCATAGATTACATGCTTTTGAATAGTATCACAGTTGAGAACATCTATGGAAGACTGAAGCACACTGGCTACATGACATCTAACATAGGGCTCGGGACCTGCTATGAGCAACATCTGTCCTAAGAAATGTAGTTGGTTGCAACAAGTCCTTTAATTGTACAATACTAATTTGTGTGAAAATACTTTTCAATGAGCTAGTCCCATTAGTGCTGCAAGCCCACGTCTGGGAGGTGAGGATGCTCAGCACTTCTCAAGATTTGTCTTTAAAAAGATGATTTCTTAAGGTAGGGGTGGCCAACCTGCAGTATGGGTGCTGTGAGGGGCACAGGCAACCTCTGTGTGTGGCACACAGGAGATCAGGGAGGGAGCAGGGAGCACAACAGCAGCTGGCTCAGGGAGCATAGGGAAGAAAGCAGAAAGCAGAGCAGCAGATCAGGCAGGGAATGCAGGACTAGGAGCAGAAAGAATGTAGACCAGCAGACTGGGCAGGGAAAGGGGATAATTTGTAGCATGCCTGCAAAAAAAGGTTGACCCCCACTGTCTTAAGAGACTTTGTATTTTACACAAGGGAACAGAAGTAAACATACCTTTGAAGTGTGTGTGTGTGTGTGTGTGTGTGTGTGTGTGTGTGTGTTATATACAAAAGTTCAGATTCAGTCAAAATATACTTGTCTTATAGGTGAGGTGAAACACCAACCTACAAGAAACATGAGATTCTCTGATATTTAATTATGCTATTATGTTTGCACGTAAGCTTAAAAGTCAATACAAAAAGCAATACTCTTCCAAATATTTTCTGCAGGTAAGCTGGAAATATTAACTTTAGTGATTAAAAGTCCGTTTTCCTATTGACGCTACTAGAAATCTCAATATAAGAATAATTTTTCATAAAGCACATCAAAACATAAGTGATAAAATACCAGATAACTATTTTAAAACCATACAATGACTGATATCTGGGTTATCCTTTGCAGCAATTAGGCAATTCATTTGGCATCTGTTTGATTGTATAATTTAATTTCCATATAAACAGCATAGTTTAAAAAAAGACAAAAGCTAGAATGTTTAAAGCTAACAAAAGATACAGTGACATCAGATTGACATTCAAAAAATTTTTCTTAGCAAAATGACCAACAAAATTTTGATTTAATACAGTGCATATAAAGTTTTTTAGAACTAAAATCTTTACATATTATTTGAATTTAGCAAAACATGAGCAAGATTTTAATATCAAAGTGCTAAACAGTACTGCCTTAAAAGTCACTGCAAATAAACTGTAAAATAACTGCTTGTGAAGTGACAGATATTTTATATACAAATGGTTAATAAAAAGACATACACACAGATATATACATATATAAACAGATTATATATATATATGTATATAGTTCTCTAACTGCTGTAACTGAGTCAGTGTGAACACCTTAGTTACTCAGTGTAACACGGCTCCCGTGAGCTGGCAGTCATTGCAATAAATACAGGCAAAGCAATTACAATATACCATGCATACAAACATTTATACAAATAAAGACACTATGCAACAAATTATTTCATATTAATATGGCATCAACAGTATAAACATACAAAAAAGGAGTACGAACACGGAATGTTTAAATGCAGTCCACTATATCCTTTCTAGCACTTACATTCATACTATTTTACAAGACTTGCTTCTTTTTCAAAACCATTTATGTCTGTTAACTAACTTATCCAGATTATATTCTAAAATGTAACTGTCCCTGATGCTGACCCTGTATGTTCCAATCACTACTTACTTTTATTTCCTTATCTAAGGAACCAGTGCTCAACTGAATCACAATCTGTACCAGTGTTTTCCACACTAATTTGTCAGTATGTCACACTACATGGATTCAAGTTTGGGAAACTGTCATGTAAGTTAGTGCATTTAATTTTCTTACTGGATTTCTTCTGTTTTTATCTTCATATTAAAATAAATTAGTTAATAAACAAGACTTAGTAAGACAGCACTTTAAAAAATTGCACTTGAACATGGGAGCTAACAGCCATTGTCATTTTGCTATATCTTATTTATATGAAATACTCAATTGTATGTACTTTGTTAAAAAAAGTGAACTTTTGTTTAGTTTGTGCCAATATATGTGCCCTTGATACAGGAAGTATGCTAACGTATTGTCACAAAACACATACTACCCTGGCAAACAACTATTTGTTGTTCTTGTTTTCAAACACACAGTTTTCTACCATTTTATTCCCCATATATAATGAGGTGTTAAACATTAGATTTAAAACAGTCATGTTAACCTTTTACTGCTGGGATAGCATCGTCCAAAAGTGCCATATTAGCAATTAAAAAACCCCCATTTCACACAAAACAACCCAAAACACAACCCCCAGAGAATATGCAGCTAAGTTTTAGGCCTCAGACTGCAAGGAAAAGTCCTCATTTTAGGGCTGGAGCTGCTTTTCTGTTATGAAAGGCAGAGAAGTTATCTGTACGTGACAATCCATTTGCCTGCTCTGGTGGGCATCTGCCTTCCATGAGTATTATCTGAGACTCAGAAGGGTAAGGTGTCCAGAAACAGCCTGTCAATGATGGAAGGGGGTGGCACCAGATCTTCCAGTTTCAGGTAAAAGATGCGCTGCAGTCCCAGTGTGCAGAGAGAACGCAAGTCAGAAAGAACACCCAGTACCTTAGGCTCCGCAGACTCAAGTGGTTGTCCTTTGTTTTGACAGCTGAAAGCTAAGTGGTCTTTCAAGCTGCTAGTGATCTTGTTGCATAGCTCTTCCACTTTCTTTGGTTCTTTTAATCCATGCCGTTCTGCAGAATAATGGCAAAAGAAAAGCTAAGTCTACATCATTATTCCATACTATAAAACTAAATTTGATACTTAATCGGTTGTTGTCTACCTATAAATAAAAAGTACAGTAATTTACAAGACACACAGACTATATGTAACTATATATAAAGTATGTGTGTCTTGTATATTATTGTACTATTTATTTATGGGCGTATACATAGAGAGTGCGCATGTCTGTGTGCACAGAAACACGTAAGTGGGAGCATGTACACACACTTCTGCTAGAATATTAGTAGTGGCCGTGGTAGTACAATGTAATGTTGACTGACCTTTTTCATATAAGATTTAATGACTGCCCTTTCCTGCTAGCATTAAAAATATTTAGCAGTAGCTTTCAACTATAATTGAAATTATAATTAATATATTGAATCCAAGCTACTGCTATATTTGCCACATTTTTTACAAAGTAAGACATAATTTAATTGGACGATTTTCTGGCAAAACTATCACAGAAGGTGGTTTGGAGATTTTCCTGCCTCCCTACCAGTTGTGAATGCTCAATAACTATGGCAACCATTATTTATTCAGTGAATTCAAGTGGGGATCAATATCTACTGCCAGCTCCATCAGAACTAGACCTGGAATTCCACTAGGAATTTACAGACTCTCTCATAAGAAACCAAAGACACCTCAACCATCCTTTGTTATTTTGATCATCTACTCCCTTTATGGTTTATTTATCTCTAAAAGGCTGGAGATAAAAGTAGTCTGAAAGTCAACTATTTCCAGCTTCAAGAAAGCAACACACAAAGTAAAAAAGCTTCCATGCTATCCATCCCAAGATTTATGAAATTCCTAAAAGCAAAACAATGACTTTAAGTTAAGTAGGGCTTCTTCCCTTTATCATCTGTTAAACTGTTTTAGAGAAGCTATACATCCTCAGTTTATTAAGTTTAAAGAGCAAATTTCAGATTTGTATTTAATTAAAAACAGTCTTTCTGCAAGCAAAGGGTAAGTTCTGCATTATTGTTTACTTATCAAGATGCACTGGATGAATTAATGTAACATGTTTCTGAACAATAATGTCAAATAATCTTGGTGCATTTCAATTTTGCCTTTGAACTTCAAATTCACAAGTAAGAAAGAATCTGTTTCATTACCAAAGATATGATAAACTATATTTTAAATACAGTACTGGGAGGTGTAGGAAAATGCAGATTAAATTTACTGGCAAACAGTATATACAGTAGTCACCTATAAACACCCAAAAAAGCAGAGGGCTGTGAAAGTTCTTATGTTCAGTGCACTCTCAACTAGCTGCCCCTGTCCTCCTGCCAAGGTCATGTTCCCTTTTGCATACAGTTTATTCTCCTTGTCCAGCATCAGTAAGAGGGAGGGTCTGATAAGAGGCAATGACTTCTGCCTACCTCCCTAAAAAGGGGAGTCAGTGAAGACAGAAAATGTTCTTTGCCCCGCCAAAGCAGGGAGAATACGTGTAGGGTCTTTGAATGGACTTCCCACACCTCTCAGGCAGATGTACATATGCGTGGACGTACCGTGAGGTATGGGTGTTCTTAAATCCTGCCTGTAGTAGTTATTTGGCATATATGGCTTTTATGAACTAACTCAACACATGTTTCTGCAATAAGAGTAGCAAGGAGTCCAAGGGCCTAATCCTTCTCTCATTTTCATTTATTTTATGCATATGCAGCTTTGTATATTTCAGTGGAGCTAACTTCTCAGTTACACCAATTTAAGATCAAGCTGCAGATGTGTACATCTTCAGCCAGAAGCTAGTATGTTCTACTATTTAAGTACCAGCAGTCTGCCTTGTTATCTGTCAAATACCTGAAAAATATTCATCCAGGCAGCAATATCTGCTTCAAACATCTTTTTTTTACCTTCAAGGAATTAAAAAAACCCTAGATATTCGAAGTGACTTGTTTACATTATAACATGAAGTGTCAATGAATATTTAATGCATATCCAGTAAATTGTGCATAGTTTAATTATGTAAGCCTGACTGTACAGATCATGTAAATACTTCCACTGATGCAGCCATTAAAGAGCTGAGGGATTAAATATTTTATAAAAATGTAAAAATCTGTAGAGATTTTTTTAAATCAAGTCTTATAGGAAATTGTATAGAACATTAACTTAATTTCTTAGTCTTTGAAGAGCTCTTACCTTTTAATCTGTTTTGAGACTATTTTTTTTAGCAATGTCAAAGAAGACATATTTATAGGCCCAGAGATCTGAAATCCTTACACAGATCCACAGTTTGACTTTAAAATAGTACAACAGAGATGTTTAAACCTACTGTATGCATTTCTGCAAAGTTTGGAAAATCAAATACTAATCTTGAGCACACAAGACCTGTTGTCTTTTTCAGTCAGGATCAAACCTGTAATCTTGGTCTTTGGTATAGTTGTTATTAAACTCCCAAGTTTAACAGGTTTTATTAAAAATGTGTTTTGTTCATTGATTAGCAGTGAAATATGCTGATGCAAAATATGAAAGGTGTAAAAATGATCTTAATTTGTTACTGGTCTTGCTTTACATAGCAAAACCCAGGTAATTTTGAATTATGACATATTTCACCCTCTATATGCTCTGTTGTGCCACAAGAGTAAAGCAAACTCTGAACAATGAGATTGTCCTCTACAGTGTGAAAAGCCATGTGATGGCACTTTCAACTTGCAAATCTTCACAAGGAATTCCTCACAAAGATTAATTCAAATTGCTCCTTTAGAAAAGAAAGCTTGTCTCCTGCCAAACTTGCTGGATCGATGGGAAGCCAGGTCCCTCCTTACTGAAGCCTGTCCCTTAGCAAATGGTATTGCCCTCCGCTTGCCTCCTTACCAGTCCTTATCCATCTGCTTCCCATTAATTTCTTGAGAAAATACCTAATTAATTATAGATTTTGGTATATTTTGGTCTGTAGTAAAGGCTCAAAGAGTACTTTGAGCTATTAATTTATCACAGATTTTAAATCACTGGGAAGTGCTTTTTGATTGTGAGAATGCTAGATGTACTTTAAAGGTAGAAAGAGACAATTTTGCCTGCCACACTCACTAAAGTAGCCTCATTGGGTCAAATGAACATGAAAACCTGAAGTCCAATATAACCATTCACTCCAAAGGGAGCAGGAGCAGGCCCTTGGAATAAACAGGCCTAACTGCATCAAAGTCAATGAACTTGTAACCATTTACACCAGGTTCTAAATAGACATATTGGCCACGTCCAGATGAGTGTGGCTGTGCGGTATGTGGTGTCACAGGCATGTCTGCAGCTCCATTCAGGTGTTCTCTGTGCTGCAAGGTAGCAGTATGAGGGAGAGGGGTTTGAACCTGGGAGATCCTGGGGTCAAAAAAAACCCGCAAAAAAAAAAAGCAAAAAAAAAAGCAGGGCAGTACACGCAGGGACAGCATGTGCCAACCAAAACTGAAACCTGGCCAGCTGGAGCCATACTCCGGCTGCTGGCCAGGCTCCAAGTGGCAGGATTGCCAATGTTGCAGCCCCAGGAGGCCCCCAGGACCTCAGGAAAGCCTGCAGGGGCCAGCCTAGTGCTGGTCCTAGCCTCCCTTACCCCACCTGGGGTAACTTGCTGCACACCAGAGGGCAAGTGGCACAGGCATTCCCTAGGAACAAGTTAGGAGTGGCACAAGGTGTTCTGCTGCTACTTGCTTCTGGGGAAACAAACATCCATGCTCATGGGGATGTGGCCATTTGGTTCAACTGGAGCACTCATGAAAATGAAAGAGCAGGATTTGTCTTCAGAATGGCAACTAATAAAACAGGATTTTCCCAAATACCTAAGAGGTGCATAATTACTGTTGCATTCTGTTTTTCTGATAGTAGTATTTGAACAGGTGCAGAAGAGGTGAAAAATTGGACTTTTCTGTTTAGCATATCATTCCTTTCCTAAGTAGGCTATCAACCACTTTTGCAATAAAGTAGTATTTTCTATCAAGAGTGGTCTTCATAATCTGATGAAAGGGACTTGTCAGAAGTCTTTCAGAACACCTGACTCAATACCTCTGCAAAATTGCAGTTAATCCTGCCCTGTTCAGAGCAGACTCTAAACACAACTAGTTTTGCACACCCTTCTGCTTTACCAACATAGCAGCCTGGGTGATCTCAGTGAGATTCCATGCTATAAACCTGGTTAAGGGCAAACACTTTGCAAGAAGAAAAAGAAAGAGCAAGACAACCAGTTACCAGCTGAGCTGAGGTACCCTCCCTTGCCCTGGACAGTGGTGGACTATGGTAGGATTTGGACTCACTAAATGAAGGTTGACCTCTCTAGACAGTATGACTTCTAAACATTTGAGGGATTTTCAACTTCTGTATTTTAAGTCGGTCTAGATCATGGTTATCTTGAAGATCTAGGCATCAGACACACATTGATTAAGGAAACAACAAATCATTAATCCAGACTCACAAAGGGCCTGTTTATTTACCATGCTGAAAGTATGGCTTTGTCCCGGTTTTAGTATAATTACCTGATTTCCTCTTCCTTCTTCATGATCACCTTCCTTTTCCATAATTTAAAGAAATGTGGGATTTAACTGAATGTCTGCTGGGCCCACAACATTTTGATAGTAATGTGTACTATTTGATGGATACAAAAGAGGATCTGGACATTACAAGTCTCAGAGCAGCCTACTACTGTGCAATCTGGAACCCAGGAGTCCACTGAATGTCACTCTGTGCTTGCTCCCTTTAGGAAGCAATATTCCACAACATGATGCAGAGTCCAATGGACATTTGCTTTTGTTGGGTTTTTTGAGGGGGAGGTAAGAGTTACTGCCTGATCAAAAGGGAGAAGAAAGTTAGTAGACAGGAAGAGATGTTCTTGAGCAAATCCTTCACTTTACTGTTGCAAGCATCCAGAGCGGAGTAGAGGACAAAAGATGGTAGAATCTGGAGATAGTGAGTATAATTGGCTAGACTGCTCTGTCTTTTTACCCTAAGCCCTGCAGCTGACCTGACTGCTTAGTGTGTTGCTTCCCTATGA